GTTCCGTCTCTCCATCCTTCCTAAGTGGACTTGAACCCATGTATCTTATCATCGTCACTGATCGCTGGTTGTTTGTGTCTCAGGTGTTAAATAAAGAAGAGCAGGAGCTTGCTGCTAAAAATGAGTATAACTTTGATCACCCCGATGCCTTCGACTTTGAGCTGCTGATCACCGTCCTCAGGAAGCTGAAGAAGGGGAAAAGCATCAAAGTTCCTGTCTATGACTTCACCAACCACAGCAGACGCAAGGAATGGGTGAGAAAGCGTTTTTATTTGGGATTCTTGTTTTGTTTTTTAAGAAGAAAAAAAAAGATTTTGAAGGTTTCCTTTTATCAAATGAAAACCTAATGTCCAGTTTATCATTACTGCTGCAGTTCAAATAATTTATATTAGCTGTTTCTAATTTAGATTCCTGCTAATTTGATAACAGTAAAAGCTTTGTTTTCCACATCGATAAGCACACACCATGTAGACAAATCTCCAGCTAAAGCCATTCTGAGGAATCTGTCTTTATGTGTAGCTCTCTGACATCTCTTTATTTCTTTGCGATGTAATTTCATGGCTGAATGGAACAACACCTCATGGGAAATCGCCCATCTCGGCCTACGACTCTGGAATCATTTTATGGCCTTTTGTACTCTGATGAATGTAATTAAGTGTCGCAGCCTGGAAGCGTTGGCCCCAGAAGGTCCATCTGCTGTAGCTGCAGCCTGGTTTACTGTATATACGTTGGTATGTCCCCTCGCATCCCGAATGGTGATGATTTACAGCTTTTTTTAGGGTTTTCTTTACTTCTATCTGGTAAAACTTGAGTTTCTTTTTCCGTTTATTTTAAACGATGCTCAAACATGTTGAGGTGAATCCAGATCATTGAAAAATCAATACACACCCCCGTGTTTGTTAAAATTTGTGCTCTCGCTCCACTACCAACTTTCCCCCTCTCTGCTCTGCTGTGCTGAATCAATGCAGGTGCATTCATCCCATTCACCTTTAAAATGAAGCCGATTTTTAAAAAAGGCAGAGAATTTGGCCCAGAGTGAACCTAAAGTCTCCCAGCTCCTCGTTTGTTTTGTTCTCCCCAATGTTTTCTCCTTTCCTTCAACATTTTTAGTAATTTTCTTGTCTTTAAACCTCAGCCAAATAGCATCCCCAGAGAGAAGTATGAAAATATGTGCACAGGTGGAGTAGTGGGATTTATTTACAGGAAGTTAGCTTAGCCTACGAGTTTAATAACTGATAATAATTTAACTTTTTTGCAGCTTGTCATTTTGTTATTTCTGCATAGAGTTTGTTCTCCTTCAGCATGCGTAGGTTCTCTCCTGGTACTCCAGCTTCCCCCCACAGTCTAAAAAACATGACTGTTAGGTTAATTGGCTTTTCTAAATTCCCCTAAGGTGTGATTCTGTGCGAGAAAGGTTGTTTGTCCGTTGGACAAACAAGGTGGATCTCGCCTGTAGACAGCTGGAGATGGGCACCAGCACCCCTCGCGACCCCAGCGGGGATAAAGCGTGATGGAAAATGGATGAATGAATGAAAAAAGATGGATATTTAATATATAAATACTTTATAAATCCTGATGGGTTAAAAATATATAAATATTTACAGCTGGTTATAATGCACTAGCACCCATCGCAACCCTGCTTGGGATATTCGTGACAGAAATGGATGGATGGATAGATGGATGGATGGATGGATGGATGGATGGATGGATGGATGGATGGATGGATGGATGGATGGATGGATGGATGGATGGATCGATGGATGGATGGATGGATCGATGGATGGATCGATCGATCTCACGTTGGAGAATTTTACCTCTGCATTTGACCCATCCCCTTTGGAGACCAGTGGGCTGCCATTGTGTGGCGCCCGGAGAGCAATCAAGGGTTAAGGGTCTTGCTCAGGAGTCCAGAGTGGAGGCAGTGGGATTCAAACCAGTTACTGGCAACCTTCTCAGACCTCAAGCCCACTGCTCTAACCACTAGGCCAACACTCCCCCCTAAACTCGGAGACTAGTCATGAAATTGACAATGCTGTGTCTACAGTGGGGGATTGTATGGAAGTAAATCTGTGTTGCTGGTATTTGAATTAAAAATGCCACTTAAATTTAAATGTTGTATGTTTGTACTTACTGTTTCAGTGTTAAAATATATTCAGAACACATTTTTGACCTAAAAAAAATTTTTAATTCAAATCCCAGCGACACTGATTTACTTCCATAGGATTGCTTTCACATCTTTGGGGACAAAACTGTTTCAAGCTTGTTTGTTGTCGATGTGAATTTCCTGAATCATTTTACTGAAAAGTGAGTCCAACAATTCAGAGTCTGGATGGGTGGGATCTACTGCAGGGGTTCTGGATCTTTTCTGGACTTGTGTAACATTAACGACCATCCCTATAAATGCAGAGATTTTTAACACTTCAGAAAAGCTTAGCTGGAAAAGGGGTAAAAAAAAACCCCAGGTTTGATTAATTATTGAAATAATAATCACATAATTCAGTAATCGACTTATCATTTACTGCAGTAAAGACACTAAAACGGGCCGTTTCCTGAAAGAACATCCCACTGACAACTTTTAACCAGCCAAACCTTTGATAGAGCAGGAATAATCCTCTTTTTTTGTGAATATGTTCTATCCAGAATTAAAGTAGCATCATTTTCATCACCTTGTTTAAATTCTATAAAAACTAAAAAATCTCCCGTTAAGCACTTTTTCCTGTCTGAGGGTTCTAGGTTAAATGAAAGAATGGTCAACATATGAAGCCATTATCAAAATAATGTTTATTTGCAGCCTTAGTTTGAATATATTTTAGGATAAAGACGCCATCCTTTCACCTGAGTGAAGTTGGCCCCCCCACCTTCTTCAAATCAGACAAAATTGGTGTCAAACGTTTGTGCTGGTTTGTGCAGCAAAAATTTTCGTTTGTGCCCCTATCGTTTTAAAGATGTAAAGAAATATTTCTAGAGGTCATCAAAGGTCAACCAGTCCCCCTACCTTCTTAAAATCAGACGAAATGGGTGTCAATTAACTCAGTTTTGTTTGTGCTGGTTTGTGCAGCAAAAATTGGCGTTTGTGCTGCTTTGGCTTTGAAGATATTAATGAAAATGTAAAGATCAAAAGGTCAACCAGCCCCCCCACCTTCTTCAAATTAGACAAAATTGGTGTCAAATGTTTGTGCTCCGTTTGTGCAGCAAAAATGTTTTGTTTGTGCCGCTTTCATTTTAAAGATATAAAGAGATGTTTCTAGAGGTCATCAAAGGTCAACCAGCCCCCCC